AACAAATAAACTTAATGGCAACAACCAACAAGGCAAGCATAATTTTCTTTCTGTTACCAAATTAATCAACACTTAGAAAAGTACAAACACTTAGAAAATGCAACCTAGAAAGAGCTGCTTGGTCAACAAAATAGCATCATCACCAAACAAGAAAAAGTAAGTCAAAAGTTAATCCTCCAGCAATAGAGTACAACTCAAGAAACCAAGACAACAGAAAAAAAAAAGAAAAAAAAATAACCACCAAAGCTAATCAACTGTAATACGAAAACCAACAATACATACAGCATCAAAGGAAGTGAAATCATAAAGTTAGCTTCAATTACTAGATCAAAAGCAGACAAAGAACCTGCTTCAGCTTCAAGCCACGTTTGGTATTTCCAAAATATTTAGCATCTTCATCTGGTTAAATTAGCTAGTTGAAAAGTTGGACTTCGATTGAGTTGACCAGTTGTAACATTTCATACATAAGATACCCAACTGATACCTAATAAAATATGCATAACATATTAGTCATATATACAATAAAATATAGTAAGTAGATTTTTTTAGTACCTCTACAAGATTTGGAAACATCATGACTGATTAAATGTAGAATCTGTGAGCTTTCTTTTTGTGTTTTCTTTTCAACCATATACAGGTTCAAATACATAGGAATGCACACATGAATACAGAGGGAGCAATTACAAAGGAAGGCAAGCATATATTGTCCACATACCCACAGTTGAGGAGGTACTTTCAAAGGAAGCTAGAGAGGATATGAAAGACAGTAGCACAAGAAGCTTTGCATATACAGATAGTAGGACATACAAAGAACAAGGGATAACTGGAAATACACAAGTTCTATCATGGATTACATCCAAGTATGGACGACAAAATCCAACTTCCACACAGAATTATGGGAGAAGACAGTGTGCATAACAGTTGATAATACCATACAAAGAACACAAGAAGGCAACAACACTCATGGACTATCAATGTGGAACAATGGTTATCGAGGTGGAGCACTGGTACTCTATGTGGAACACTGGTCGATTGTGCAGTAGCTTATATGGAATACAAGTTAAGGACACAAATGCAGCAATAATTTACAAATATGTAGGACACACATACATCGCACAACATCAAGGAAAGGAGAAACAATGCACAAAGGAGCAATTTGTAGTAGGCTAGTTTTTATACTCTTTTTAAATACTAGAGCTAATTGTGATATCAATGATGGGCTTATACGAAATGGGTGAAAGATAGCAGAAGCCCATAGTAATTGTTGATATCATTTACAAAGAATCATATCTTTTTGTAGGATCTCTACCTTTTGATCAATAGAGCACCTTTCTAGCTAGCAAAAAGAACAACTAACTTTAACATAAAAACTGAAAAGATAGCAAAAATAACATCAAATTTAATGCTTTTACACAATAAATGGAGACAAAATCGAAGGGCAAGGGAAATATATACAACAGGCACAACCTAATTCAAACATGCCATATGTGAAAGTTAACATAAACTAAATCAAGTATGTTTTGGGTTCTAATGCTTACCCCAAATTCGGAGATAGATAGAGAGCCGTAAAAAACTTGCTCAATTCTCTCTCTAGGCGATTTGGCGATTTTCAGACGATCACTGCGCGAGCAGCTGCCATGGCCAATTTGGCCGGCGGCCAGCCATCTTTTCCGGCTGGTCAGCCTTCCCCCACCACTACCCATCCGCCTACGACCACAAACAACACTACCCAACCCTTAGATTACTCTAAAATTCTGAAACCAGTGGCATTGAACACTGCCATGCAGACGTCGAGTTCCAATTCAAAACCTATCGAGCCAATTCCTATGAAACCCTTTACTTTCCTCAATGGGCAACCAATGATCAAGTGGACGGAAGCAGAAGTACAAAGAATGAATATCATGGAGGGGTTACAATATGCAGTTCTTGGGAAATTTTCCTATGGATGGTCAGAATTGAACGAGATACGTAGAATTCTCCCAGTTCAGTGTTGAATCAAAGGTGAATGCAGTATTGGATTGTTTAGAGATCGTCACATATTGATCAGATTCACTTTATTGGAGGATTTTGCAAATTTTACGTCTAAAGGTGCATATTATTTGAAGGCAAAGGATCGATATCAATATCAAGTACGACCATTGATTTATGATACAAAGTTTAAAGTCGGAGAAGAAACATCTAAGGTGATGGCGTGGATTTCTTTCCCAAATCTGTTGCCTACTTATTTTGTGAAGGAATGTTTATTCTCTTAGGCATCAGCTGTTGGAACACCTTTACACTTAGACTTGGCTACTGTCAACAAAACCAGGCCAAGTTGTGCAAGAGTTAAGGTCCAGGTGGATTTACTGGAGGAACTACCTAAGAGAGTTCGAATGGATATTGAAGATGAAGTTAATGGTACTGTACGAACTGAGTGGGTAAAGATCCAATATGACTATATCCCTAAATATTGCAAGGAGTGCAAATTACAAGGTCATGATAAAAAATCATGCTGGAGATTACACCCTGAATTGTTTGTGGAATATGATAGGGAGAAACAAGGTGGTAATGCAAGAGGTAATGTTCAGAACTCTCAAAATAACCCAATCATGATTCTATCTAGTGGCAAAGTTGTTGGGAATATTGGAGAGCAATGGAAGGAAGTTAGGGATAATCGTGTTAAAAAAGGTTCTAAGCAGATAGGTGTTACAGATCAAACTGGAAAAGAAATTGTTCCTGTTGATCCAAACAATGTCCAACAAGTGAGAAGTATTGCAGGCAAAGAGATAGTTTCCGGTTGAGAATGGTAATAAGCAACAGCAGAAGCAGAATTTTACCAATGCAGGAAAGCAGATTGTGCCAGCCAATACTCAGGTTCAACAGGTTCAGACTGCTAATAAGTTTGCAGCTTTGGAGAATGAAGAGAGTGAAGTAGATGGGGATAATCAGCTGACATTAGGGAACACCAATAATGTCTCAATTCCATCAGCTAATACTCAGGCAACTGGGAGAGCACTCAATGCATTAGCACCTGCCTTTGATCCTAAATCATCTGGGAAGAAAACAAGAATGGGGAAGAGTGGTACAAATGAGGCAGAACAAATAGGGGAGAAGAATCAAAAACAACGAAAAGAATCTACAGCTCAATGGGTTAGTAGAGCATTTGCAGTTAACAAGGTCACTATGAACCAATCTTGTCCGGAGATATCATCACAAGAAATAGATCCAGAAGAAGTAGCTGAGCAAGAGTTGATAAAACAAAAAGTCAAATGGACAGGAGGGAAACTATGGGATGATCAGACAGAAGATGATCCTGATGAAGGGGATTTATTAGAAGGATATGAAGAGGAAAATGTACCAGATGAGGAGACACAAAGTAAAGAAGTCAGTGGTAATGGGAATGCAAACAAGGGAGATGTACAGATTGGAGAAAACACTGCCAACAACAAAAATGTACCAATGGAGATTGCAGGATCAAACTCAAAAGTGCAGCAGTCAGAAAATTGTCCCAGCCCTTTAATGACCATTGATCCTAACAATTCCATACCTACTCTTGATCCTATACCTGCAGAACCAATTGATCCTGGTGATCCTTGTGGAGAGGAGGAGCAGCAAAATGTAGAAAAGGATGGTTCTGTAGAGAAGGAGAAAGAAATTACTCCTGTCAATAATCAGAATGCAGAACAGTTGGCTAAAGTAAATGCAGGCAATAGCATGATCTTTAAGCCAACTGATAATCAGATTGCTGCAGTTGAAAAACAAAATGACATGAAGGATGATGCAGGGGGAAAAGGAAGAGATCTAGATGCAGAATCAACCTATCAAAATTTTAGGAATGTGACCAGGCAAGGGGACATATCACCTAGGTTCATGGATAAGGATAAATCAGCAGGTAGAGGAAGGAAAAAACAGGTGGAAGAGGTTCCTAGCATTCTACCAGCTGGGGTCCAAACAAGGAGGACTTTATCTAAATCCATTAATTAGAGATGAATGCTTTAATATGGAACATTAGATCAGTAAACACAGAAGGAGCCTTTGAACGGCTTATCACAATGCATAGAAAATACCACTTTGAGTTCATTGGACTCATGGAACCAAAACAGCAGTCAAGGAAATTGGATGGATACAGAAGACAGATTGACTTTGAACAAGCTATTGTTAACACTTCTAACAAGATTTGGGCTTTCATTGATGAGAAATACGATGTAACAGTTGTGATTGATGTAGTACAACAACTTACTTTGAAGCTATATGATACTGAAAAGGAGAAAGAATTCATGGTCACATTAGTTTATGCTAAGTGTGATCATATTGAAAGGATTGAGCTGTGGGACTCATATTATCTGGCCAGTGACATGACTATTCCATGGATGGTAGGGGGAGATTTCAATGTCATTTGGGATGAGGAAGAGAAATTTGGAGGCCTGCCAGTTTCAATAAATGAAGTGGATGATTTCAGACATTGCATGAACACCTGTAACCTCATAGATATGGGGTTCAAAGGGAGAATATATACTTGGTGGAATGGTCGAGCTGAGGAAGATTGTATTTTCAAGAGATTAGACAGAGTTTTTGCAAACATGGAACTACAACAGATATGGCTTGGGCTGGAGATTACTCACTTGTCCAAAATTGGATCTGATCATTGCCCCTTACTGATTTCATTTATTCCAGATACAGTACCTATCAAGAAGAGCTTCAGATTTCTCAAATTCTGGATTGAACATGAATCATTTAAGGATGTGGTTAAGGAGAATTGGCAAACAGATTTTCAGGCAAATCCTTTTATCCTTTTCAATCACAAGCTTAAGAGATTGAAGAAGGCATTATCTACATGGAGCAGGACAACTTTTGGAGATATTTTTCAGAAAATAGCTAGCCTGGAGGAAGTTGTGGTAGTACATGAAGTACAATTTGAGCTTAATCTTACAATTCAAAATAGGGAAAGGCTACAAAAGGTGAAGGCAGAACTGTTTAAATATTTGGCTCTAGAGGAATAATTTTGGAAACAAAAATCTGGCATGACTTGGTTCAATGATGGAGATAAAAATACTAAACTCTTTCATGCTCATGTGACTTGGTTCAATGATGGAGATAAAAATACTAAACTCTTTCATGCTCATGTGAATGGAAAGAGGAAGAGACTGCAGCTAAAGAGAATTCAGAATAATGCTGGACAATGGGTGGAAGATACAGAAAGAATTGCAGATGAAGCAGTTAGATTTTTTCAAGCACAGTTTCATGAAGATGTAGTTGCTACAGAATTTCAGATCATTAATCATGTCCCTCAAATGGTTAATGGGGAGAAGAACCAGGAACTATTGAAACAACCTACTAGGGAGGAGGTCAAACAGGCAGTATATGGATTAAATGGAGACAATTGTGGTGGTCCAGATGGTTTTAATGGTAGTTTTTTTCATTCATGTTGGGACATTGTTGGGGATGATATGGTGGAGATGGTGAAGGCTTTTTTCAATGGGCAGGAGCTACCTAGGTTTATCACTCATACAAACCTAGTCTTATTGCCAAAGAAGAAGGAGGTACTCAATTTTTCTGATATGAGACCAATTAGCTTAAGTAATTTCATCAACAAGGTATTTTCTAGAGTGATTCATGAAAGGCTAGTTGGTCTACTTCCTACACTAATTTCTGATGAGCAAGCTGGATTTGTGAAGGGCAGAAGCATAGTGGAAAATATATTGTTGACACAGGAAATCATAACTGATATTAGACTGAGAACTAAAGCAGGTCCTAATGTGGTAATCACGCTAGACATGACTAAGGCATATGATCGATTGTCATGGTTATTTTTGACCAAAGTGCTGAGAAAAATGGGATTTGCAGAGAGATTTATAGGTTGGGTGTTTGGGACAATAATTAATAATTGGTATTCAGTGTTGATAAATGGCTAGCCACATGGTTTTTTCAAATCTACTAGAGGGGTTAAGCAAGGTGATCCATTATCTCCTACGCTTTTCATTCTGGCAGCTGAGGCAATGTCAAGAGGGCTGAATTCTCTTCATTATAATCTATATTTTTGTGGATTTGGGTTTCCAAAATGGAGTCCTAAGATCAAACACTTGGCTTATGCTGATGACACCATAATATTCTCCTCCTCAGATGCAACTTCGTTGCAGCTCATTATGCAAGTTTTGACAGCATATGAAGCAGCTTCAGGAAAACTGATCAACAAAGCAAAATCAGCTATTTATATGCATCATCTAATTGATGAAGACGTAGTGAGAAAGTTAGAAAGAGTTACTGGCATTGGAAGGCAAGATTTCCCATTTACATATTTGCGATGTCCTATCTTTTACGCTAGAAGAAAAATGGATTACTATCAAGGGATGATAAAAAAAATGATAGACAAATTGCAATCTTGGAAGGGGAAGCTACTGTCGATTGGAGGAAGAGCAGTTTTGATTTCTCATGTAATACAAAGTATGCCTATTCATCTGTTATCAGCTGTAAAAGCACCTGCCTCTGTGATCAACAAACTACATAAACTGATGGGAAGGTTCTTTTGGAGTAGTTCTATTGAAGGAGGACATAGGCATTGGGCTTCATGGGATACTTTATGCTTGCCAGTTGAAGAAGGTGGAGTAGGATTTAGATCACTTCATGATGTATCTAAAGCCTTATTCTGCATGCTGTGGTGGAATTTTCGAACAAAGCCATCATTGTGGAGTTCATTCATGAGTCAAAAATACTGTAAGAAGTTGAATCCAATTGTAGTTCCTTGGAGAAAAGGATCCCATATATGGAGAAAAATGCTGCAGTGTAGAGATGATATAGAGCATCAGATTCTGTGGCAGCCTAAGATGGGTTCTTCACTGTTTTGGTTTGAAAATTGGACTGGACTGGGGGCATTATACTTTGTCACTCCACCTGATTTCTTTTGTAATGAATCCATTCAGAATGTTAATGAAGTAGTGCAGGGGGGAAGATGGATAATGCAATTATTACCTGCAGATTTGGCTACTCACATTCTGCAGAACATCAAGCCACCTGGGGAAAATATAGTGTTAGATAGACCTTTCTGGATGTTAGAGACAAGGGGCGAATTTAGTGTGAGATCTGCGTGGGAGTATGTAAGGAGGAGAAAGGAACCATGCAATGCTTATAAAATGATATGGATCAAAGGTTTGCCATTTAAGGTTTCATTCTTCATGTGGAAGGTGTGGAAGAATAAACTGCCCTTAGATGATTTTTTCAGAAGATTGGGATATCTAATGGCCTCTAGATTTTGGTATTGTGTGTTGCCTCAAGAGGAATCTTTGCCACACTTATTTTTCACTTCTTATGCTGCTAGAAATGTGTAGCAGTATTTCCTTCCTGCTGCTGGTATTAAAGTTGAAGGTTTAACATTCCATCAAGCTAACGTGAAATGTTGGACTGCCAAGGTGATTCCCAGACTGCAACCAATCATTCAAGCACTACCATCGATTATAGTATGGGAGTTATGGAAAAGGAGGAACTCGTACAAATATGGAGATGCAGTTTCAATGAATAAGGTGATATATCAGGTATCTACCACTCTCCAACATCTGGTAAAATGTAGAAAACCTAGCTTACAGAATGTCCCACACAAATGGCCTGATCTGATTGATATGATGGAGCAATTTACACCTAAGTTGAAATACACTAAAGTGATGTGGGAATATCCTAACCAAGGCTGGGTGAAGGTCAATACAGATGCAACTTGTAGGGGCAATCCTGGTAGGAGTTCGATTGGTTTTGTGCTGAGAAATGAGGAAGGGAATGTATTGTATGCTTGTGGCAAGGAGATGGAAGAAGGCACAAACACTGAAGCAGAGGTGCAAGCCATTCTGGAAGCATTGAGATACTGTGTTACACATGACTATATTCTCATCGACTTGCATACTGATTCAATGCTGGTCAAGAATGTTATCCTAGGGGATTGGAACTCACCACGGTCTGTGGTGGTATATATGGAGGAGATTAAGGAGTTGATGAATAGATGCAATCTGAAGGTGTCTCATACATTAAGGGAGGGTAACCAATTGGCTGATCACATTGCCAATTATGCTCTAGACACTGGTCCAATGGAATGTAATGGTTTTGGAGATTTAGACGTCCAAGGGAGGAAAATAGTCAATAGTGATAAGCTGCAATGTCCATACTTAAGAGTAAAGGTTGCAAGAAATTAGACATGGAGGAGGAAAAGGAGACAAAGAAGAGGTTTAGGGCAGGGGTTAGATCAGCTGATCATCATACTCAAATCCTTTTGGAGGAGAGTATGGTGCAGTCCTTGTTTACTAACATAATTTTCTTTTTTGCAGGAAACGTTACTGTGTCTATGCCCTACTCTTTGGTGGAATTTCAGTTGGTGGTATTAGTGTTATACACTCATTCCACTGGAAGGAAGCCAAGGGTAGGCACAAGCATAGGAACAAGAAGGAGAACTATGCTGCCCAGATTTTCAGAGGTTGAAAGACATTTTTCGCAAGCAATAACATCAATAAATGAAATGGTTGCAATGAAAAAACAAGTGGAGGTTAACACCTCATTAACACTAGCAATGTTGCAATCAATTTCAGACAAAAAAGAGCAACAACATATACATGTTCATGATAACAAAAAGGGCAGCATCACAAATGCCCACAGCAGATGCAAAGTTGTAGGGCAGGGGATCAATTTAAAGCATTCGATAAGGGTATATCCACATACAGGGAGTCAGGCAACTGATATGCATCAGAGGTCTCACCAGCAATCGAAGAAGGACACAGGAACTGGTACAAAATGCAGACACAAAGAGCATGCAATATGGTCGACGCAACAGCACTTACCAGGAGTTGTGGGATCTACTTCTAGTTTTAAGCAAAGGAAGCCATCAACTACATTTGAAAGGGTTCACAAACAACACAAAAGAAGATGCCAATCGTATACTCACACTGTGGTTACAGCAACAGTATGTTGGACAAAATGCATATACACCACAGTACATTGGAGCTGGGCAGTACTTTTAGCAATTGTACATAGCTGGATGGTGCAGGAACAAATTGACCACGGACAGACCAAGCAACTGGGATACAGAAATGGGAAAAATCACAAAGTGACGGGCCAACACGGTAAGCAAAGATGCAACAAGTCAAACACTGGATATTTTTGTAATAGACTAGTTTTAGTTATTAGCATTAGTTCAATTGTTAAAATCAATATTGGGACCACAAGTCTCAATACTGATAATAGGAGCTATTTCATAGACAAGTACAATCGTCTTACTCTTAGTAAGACATCAGACGACTTTGTTTTAATTCTCTTAGATATATATAAAAACTAGCCCTAGGCACCCTGCCTAGTGGATTTATTTAAAAAAAAATCATCAGGTCCAGAGACGCTCCACACCTGGTGCTGATTGGGTTGAGAGGGATATACCGTTATGTCCCTATCCGGGTTATGAGGGAAGCAGGTAGGAAATAGGTTATGCCAAGGGTTGCCAAGATGAGTCATTTCAGACAAACTTTCAAGACGACGACGTCCCTTACAAGTTCCAAGCCCAGCATATGTGGCACTGCTAAATCATTATGGAAAAGAACACCATTGAGCCCGATAGGTATCATGCAGGGTGCGAACCTCTCTATCCGGCCTGGTTAGAAGACATTCTAAAAGGAATGGTGATGCAAGGAGCCGGACGAGGGAACAAAATCATAGACCAAGAAGCTGAAGCTCAAGTCAAGTACAACAAGCTGCGCAAGAGGGTCCACGACTCTGAGAATGAGCACCAGGAAATACATGAGAGGAATGCGAGATTGATTGAGGAATGGAAAGAATTGGCGATCACCTCTAGCAGGAAGCTGGAATATATGGAGCGAGGAATAGTTGAACTGGAGGGTAAGGTCATAAAGAGGATTGAGGATTGCAGAACGCTAAAGGAGCTGAAGGAGGACATCTGGCCAGAGCATACTTGTTGCTGGGTATGTGCGAGCTGGGAGACCTGTGCGATGGAGTCAGGAAGATTGAATCTTGGGAAGGTCCTTCTGGGACCAAACAGGCTAGATTTATTTGCTTTCCTAAAAAGTAATAAGGCCAAGCGCCAGTAGTGACTTACTTGTTCTATTATCTAAGTGTCGTTTTGGGATTCGTCTATTTTTCATATTATGAAATGAGGCATTCATTTTAAAGTTCTCCAAATCTATTTGTCGCTAGGCCTACCTCGGACACAACGAGGCTCCCAAATTAAGACACCAGTTTACCTTTCCGCAATATGTGTTTAAATAATGCAACATTTCAAAATCCTCACTGACTTGTTACCTTTTTGTTTTCCTTATTTTTATTATTCCCATCCCCTTAGGTTGGTTCACTCATACTACTATACTATATCTAGAGGCCCTCCACCTCCTCCTCCTCCAAGCAATGAAAAAGGCAAAGGAAAAATGGACAACTTAAGTGGTATCCGAAAGGAGAATGTTGAGAACAAGAAACTTCAGATGGACGGAGTACTCCGGCACCGAACGACCTAGTCTTGAGATTGGAACAAAAGATACTGGAGCTACAAGGAGATCTTGAGCAGGTTCGCAACTTGGCGAACTTATCACTCACCCTGAATGTCCCCGACATCAACCAACAAAACACAAAGAACCCAGCACCTCCCCAAAACACACCAAATCAACATCCACGAAACCCTCCTACACCACGTCAATACGCAACCCCACCTCAAAATCTCAATCCCTTGCCAATACCAACTCCACCACAACATCACCACCAACCAATTCAGTACCCACTAACCACACTCCCAAAAACACACCACAACCCATTCCCGATCCCCAAAACTCAACCAATGACCATCATTACACCCAAGTCCCTAGCACCCATCAGAGCAACCCTATATATGTTGAAACCGTACCTCACTCTATCCAACCAATCTCCTATACACCGAAATCCTCCGGGAAGGACCTGCTCATTAAAAACATGGCTGAAGAACTCAAGAAGTTGACGATTCGAGTCCAGGGCATCGAAGGCGACAAAGGAATAAAAGGTTTGAACTATGATGATTTATGCATACAGCCCGATGTGGAACTGCCAGAGGGGTACAAACCTCCCATGTTTGAGATGTTCGACGGTACAGGTGATCCTTGGGTTCATCTGAGGACATATTGTGACAAGCTTGTCGGGGTCGGGAAAGACGAAAATATCCAAATGAAACTCTTTATGAGGAGTCTCGGTGGGGATTCTTTGTCTTGGTATATCAGCCAAGATCACAAGAAATGGTCCAATTGGGTAAGTATGTCGTCAGATTTCATGGACCGGTTCGGGTTCAACACAGAGAACGCACCGGATGTTTTCTACATTCAGAATCTTAAAAAGAAACCAATTGAGACTTTCGGCGAGTATGCTACTCGTTGGAGGTCGGAAGTGGCCAAGGTCAGGCCATCTTTGGATGAGGAACAGATGAACAAGTTCTTTATTAGAGCACAGGATCCGCAATATTATGAGTGGTTGATGGTTATCGAAAATCACAAATTCTCTGATATCATCAAACTTGGGGAAAGAATTGATGAAGGAATCAAGAGGGGGATGGTAACGAATTTTGAGGCACTACAGGCCACAAATAAGGCATTACAGTCAGGCAGCATATCAAAGAAGAGAGATGTCGGAGCAGTAATGGTGGCTCAAGGCCCGAAATCTCCACTTACCTATCAAACACCTCCACCCATATATCAAACACCTCCACCCACATATCAAACACCTCAACCCACATACCAAGCACCACAACCCACATATCAACCCTCATCTCCCAGATATTCCCAACCAGCCACTGTCCATCACACCTATAACTCCCAACCATCCCACTTCTAATCACCACCAGCTCGCTAAAATTATCCAAGACCAAGACCCAACTTCGACCGCAAGCCACCCAGACAATACACCGCCATTGCTGAGCCCATCGACCAGTTGTACGAAAGGTTGAAAGCCGCAGGTTACGTCACTCCTGTTCCCTCTGTGGCATTAGAAAATCCATCCTAGTCAATCCAAACAAAACTTGTGCTTACCATTCCGGTATGAAGGGGCACACCACTACTGAGTGCCAAACATTGAAGGATAAGATCCAGACGTTTATTGACAACTAGGTCATACAGGCGAAGGAAGCTGCACTTATTGTCCGCAACAACCCCCTCCCTGATCATATAGATGGTGGAGTACATGTGATAGAGACGAACGAAGAATGGGACCTTGAGGGGTCGATTGGGCTTATTAGACAGGGCAATGACTTTAAAGTTCCAGTCACACTTATTCCTATTGTGGTACAGACTCAGTCACCAACCGAGGTTGAAGTAGGTGCATCAGTTCCATTCGAGGTAGAGGTGGCTCCGCCTGTGGCCACCCCCGCTCCATTTGAAGTAGAAGTGGTCACACCATTCACAGTGACCGTATCAACTGCACCTCCTTTCGACTCAAAAGAAATACCCTGGGATTACGTTTCCGAGGCTGGCGGAAAGGGAAGGCAAAGGTAGAGGAATCTGATGCTGCGCAAGGAATGACTAGGACTAAAAGAGTTTATATACCTGAACACTTGGGAGGATCAAGTAAGGATGCCACTACCAGGCAACCTTTCATTGACACAGGGCCAGATGACCTTTTGGAGGAAAGTACAAGCAAAAGAGTATTCTGTCATTGATCATTTGAACAAAACCCCAACTCAGATATCCATCCTGTCACTGTTGCAAAATTCAGAGGCGCACAAGAATGCTTTAATGAAAGTGGCTAACATGGTAGGACAGGTGTTGGAAAGTCACAAGATCACTTTCCACGAGGATGAGTTGCCACCTGAGGGTTTGAACCACAACAGGGCGCTGCACATTACAGTGCGATGCGAAGACTACTTCATTGCCAGGGTCTTGGTTGACGGAGGTTCAAGCCTCAATATTTGTCCGTTGGACACTCTGAAAAGGTTGGACAAAGGTTTTCATGAAATACGGGTAGGAAGCATGAACGTGAAAGCTTTCGATGGGCAAAGGGCCACGATCGGGGAAATCAACCGTTGCTTGCAAATGGGGCCGACTTGGTTCGACATCGAGTTTCAGGTGCTCGACATACCAGCCTCATATAATCTTTTGTTGGGCCGATCATGGATCCATGCTGCAGCCGTACCTTCCACACTATATCAACCCGTGAAGTTCGAATGGAATCGTTAGGAGGTGATCATTCA